GAAGATCCGACGGCGAGGAAAATTTCAGGCAATGTGGCGGTTGGTTCTGGCCGAGAAGCTGGCGCAGCTTGTAGAGTAGAATGCCAACGAGCTGAGCTGAAGCCAGCTCGTCTGCCGCCTGATCACCTGATCCACCACAACGGTCATGCAGGCTTCAACGGGAAGCGCATTAGGATCTCCGTTCTCTGTGCAAACAATGCGAATCATCAGGCTGGTGGATTAGAATAGCCGCCATAAAAAATAAATCAATCATCTAGATGTAGTCAAAACCAAAATCTAACAGGATCAAACTTGAATCCCTGTAAACCAAAAGGGAATAAGGACAGAGGTTGGGAGAGGAGGAGGGGAGGAGAGGAGCAGAGCCTCACCCTGACCACATCACAAGCAGCCCAGGGCGCAATGCAGTGCTTTATAACAGGAATAGTTTTTTTCCTTTAGAGGGTAGACTTTCAGAGATCTAGAGGAGAGATTCAGAGATACTTAAGATACTTGAGGTCTCCATCAGCTTAAATCGCTGCTTCTTGTTTCTCTGCAAAACAAAGTGCACCACCGTGTTATCAAATTGCTGGAAGCTGAGACACAAGGATAGCATATGTAAACCCAAAATGTTATTTGCTCATAAGAGGTAGTATTAGAATAGCAGATTAACCAGATAAAGCAAAACTGTGCCAGATAAAGCAAAACTGTGCACAATAGACCGACAATTTGCAGTTAAACAATAGCTTGAAGAGGTAGCTTGAAATCTAAGTGTGAGAATAATCAAATCTATTCTTGCATAGTGTGCACATGAATATGAAAATATGGCAGATATAACCGATATTGGAAATTGCTTAGGAATGTGAAAGGAAGAAGGGCAAATAAACAGAGTCTGTATATCAATATGCAGTTAGAATTATATAGGTAACAGGGAGCTCTAAGCTTCCACAGTAGAATATGGGTAGGAAGAACATCGTGATGGTCATGAGCTAATCAAAGAAATGAATATTAAATATGCAACTTTGTATCGTTATTGTTGTTGTCACTGTGGACAGATAGACAATTTCATTAGAAGTTTAGATTGTGGGAACCTCTGTGGCTGCAGCAGCATGGTAATGTCTGAAACTAATTTCTCGATTGTATGAATATAGAAAAAAAATTAACATCTCCAAACAGAAAATAGTTTGGCACTAGCTATATATTTCTGATAGTAATAGTTGGTTTAGTTAGCTGGGAAGTGTGTAACATGCAGTTTGTGTATAATAAGAGGCATGCCATGACAGTAGACAATATTATTTAAATAGTATTGAAATAATCTTAAAACTTTTGACATTATTAGCCATCATCCTATATGAAATTTACAAATTTGTGAGCCATATATACAAGTGTGGTGAAAACAAAATTCAACTGAAGATAATATATGATACCTGTCATTGAGAGTTGACTATGGATATTTATTTCGTGCAATCAATCAAATATTTTAACGAAATGAAAGAACCTTAGAAAAATGGAAGAAATCATATAGATAATATTCTGTTTATTGAAAGAGTTGATAACTCCTACTGCATGTTACTGTAATAATCTAATATGGGAAAAATACATTACAGGTTCCATCTCATTGTTGTACGTACATATGGCAGGAACATATTCTTTAGTGACAACATATATGAACTGAGAAGGTTGAATAAAAGTCCGTAGATAGGACAACGCACATGGTAAAGGCATATTCAGCATGGCAACAACCGCGGAATCTGTAACTGTAATTGTTAATTATGGACCTTTCTTAATACCAACAGATGATACAATTACACTAAGGGATGCCTTTTTCTATCTCACCAATCAGCAAATGCTAGATCTAAGAAAGCAAGTATCTATAATAGAGGAAATTTGTGGTCACTTTTTTGCTGAAAACAAAATGAGAAAAAAGTAGAATATATGCTGATACTACTTGAAGGACATATTAATCAACATGATGCCTGCTGAAGGAAAAAGCAACAGAACTTAGAAAGGAGTGCTTTATTGTAACCTTCTTGAGTGCCGGTGTTGCAGATAGGAATATGAGTGAGCACCATTTGGTGTCTCTGTGTCTCTTTCCCTGAGCGCATCTGGTCATCTGGTGTTCCCCATCTCTATGAAATTTCACACCCAAGAAGTTATGAAAAGGCAAGAATTGCAGAAATGGTACTATATACCCAATTCACCATTCATGAACTGGCACAGTTGCATCGTCTTCAGTACCCTCTGTTTAATATTTAATAATTAGTTTAAAACTTGCCAAAATTATCAATAGAAGTGACTTTCTGATGATCAACATTATCAGCATATGCGGTCAGGCAGATATCGTCCAAAGAAAAAGAACTGCCCTTGTTAAGGTAGACACTGACGAAATTTTTGTTTGAGATATATAGTCCTACAGGGTTCAAAGCAGGAAAAAAAGGCAACATGAACTTCCAAAGACTGCATACATAAATAGGCAGGTATGGACTGAATGCGCAAATAGAGAGCAGAGACATGATTCTAAGGTAAATAGCAACTGCAAGGCAACTTGAAAATTGACTCATATGAAAGAAATGTCAAAATATCTGAATAGAAGCACCAACGCGATGGAGCATCGAACTGTCAATTAGAAGGTGAAAAATGGAAGGCAAGAACTGTCAGCTAGATTTTCCATTACCCTCAGTTCACTAAGAACACCAAAAAAGACCATATATATCTAATGGTACATTTCACTCCGTATGCCAAATAGTTCAATAAAAGCATAATAGAAGTATCATAAAAGACTGAGCAGTCATCACAATATATGCAAATGGCTCATCCCAAATGAAAATAAAAAGATCACGAAAAAGTGATAATCATGATTGCGCACTGTCAGTGACCTAAATAAGCCTTTAACAAAAGCATAGAAGCTCGTTGTACAGCCATTATATATCCAGAATCTCGACATTGCCATGTTTCATACAGGTAACATGATGCCTAAATCCTGAAACAAGCAGGTACTGTACAGTGTACCTTTAGGGATTTAACTGAACAGACACCAAGATTGTCCACACATATTGTTTATCAATTGCATACTTCCAATTTCCTAACTCTAATACGCCCTAGTTAAGACACAGATTATGTAAAGCTATTAAAATTTCCTGACTCCGTAGTCTGTAGCTCATATTCTTACCTGAAGATCTATAAGGAGCAACGTTTATTCTTATCGCAAACACTGAAGATTTAGATTAAAATAATTTGGTCAACATTTTTTAAAAATTCTACCTGACCTTAACCAAATTATGAACCCATGATGAACCAAAATGTATTACAATCTACTAATCCAAGATAGGAAGGTATCATGGCTAAGAAATGCTTAAGCTGATATGTTATACTAGATTAGTGTTTCTATCTAGGTGAATCAAATGTATCTCAATCTATATACTAACCTAGGTTAGGAAAATATCAAGTACTAATAATCTGGCAGTCATACATACAGTTTGTCGCTGAAAATATATTTGTTAGCACTTCACTGTATTGGCTACCTATTTGTAAATTCTCAGGTGGTAATACTAAGGCAGGTACATCTAGAGTTAGATCTCTACCATGCTACAGTATAGGTGTTTAAGAAGTGTGTGTGTAACTTCTGAGGTGGTAATACTAAGGCAGGTATCTGTAAACATTGGGGAATAGTTTATGTGCTTAATGCAAAATAATCTTCAGGCTTTCTTTTTTCTGAATGGCCGTGCAACATCAACGAAAATGAAATTCTGCTACACTAAATTGAGATAACAACCCAGAACTCACACATGGTTTGTTCATAGACCATAAAAAAATTGGAGGACTCAAACAGAATTGCAGAGCTGTACTGACCGCCTGCAGGAGATTGTGAGGGGAGAGGGGACCAAACCGGAGATCGGATGGCACGAGGAACCGGAGTGACGGGGTGACAAAGCACCGGCCACGGCGCCCGACACGAGGCACGACTGCGAAGAAGACGAGGGCACGAGGAGGTGTACTGGCGCGCCAGGTGGAGGTGGAGGGCGGCGACCAGCGAGGAGTCGAGGAGGACGCGCGGCTGCTGGCAGCTCCTATGGCAAGGCGCCGGCCGTGATCGGCCGTCCCCGGGCGCCACCACCGTCGGGAGAGTCCGTGGGGATGGCTGCGACGCCGCCAGTGGTGGTGTGTGCCGTGGGGACGACTAGCGACGGAGGGGCCAAACTCTAGGCTGCCATTCACGCCGCTGCTGCGACCCGCTACCTTGCGTCGTGAGGAGGAAGGGGCGAGGTGGAGGGCCAAGAGGAGTAGGAGGAGGGTGGCCGCCGCCGCTGCCATGAGGGCCGGCCACCGCCGAGGTCGCCCTGCGCCGTCGCCTCGGTCGCGTCCACGACTCAGGGGAGCGAGGGAGGGCGTCTGAGAGAGAGAGAGAGAGGAGGCGAGCTACGAGGAGGCAGAAGAAGCAGATTCTAAAGGAAGCGGCTACAAGCAATCTGGGCCACACGATGGCGGATCCGACGGCTGAGAACATTTCGCGTGACGCGGATCCGACGGCTGAGAACATTTCGCGTGACGTGGCTGCCGCTTCTGTGCGAGGAGCTGTCGCGTTTTGTAGTTTTAAAAATTAGTGTACATGCATGATAGCAGAAAAATATATGGGTCAACTTATGCTACCCATTGGGCCTAGGGCCAGGTCAGCCCATTCCCATCCCTAAACGTGATTTGAACATGAAATCTGACAAGCGTACACATATTACAGGGCCAAAGAGGTTATATGTGAGCAATCTGCTTAGTTATTTTCTCATTCAGAGCCAGTTCTCGTGCATTCTAACTTGATTTTCTTCAGCCGCAAAACAAACATCAATCTACCACCTCCAATTTGTTAAAGGCTAGCGCTAATTTAGCACACGCATTGTATCATGGCAAAAACATTGATGAATGCATTCCTTTCCTTCCTGAAACTCTGAAAGGATTGACGCGACCTTACGGGCTTCCATATGCCCTGTTCGTTTAGGCTGATAATCTCTTGGAGGCCCATATCTCATGTGTCATCAAGCCATCTCTTTAGCTTTTCTCTTATCCTTTCGCTTCTGCTCTCGTGTACCTGCAAAAACACAACAAAAAATTAGGAAACTGAGAGATGCTGTTTATACAGCCTTTGGCCATTTTCTCGTTATAGCTGCACAGGCATTTCTGCATAAAGCAAGTTGATATCTATTTCCAAAACTAGCACGGGATGCAACCTTACAGGTAAATCAAACAAAAAAGTTTTGACATCAATATAAATATGGCAACAAGTTAGCTCTATTCGGATGTGCCCATTCCCCCCCCCCTTTTTTTTAAAGCAACTGGACAGCCTCGATCAAAGGTGAGGCCAGACTGCAAGTGAAGCAAAAGAAAGAAGGATAAAGAATCCTACGTTTCTTTTCTTCATGCTTCTTCCGCCTCCAGTTCTCAGCGACTCTTCGCTTTTCTCTTTGTTTGTCTATGTTCACACAGACCTGAAAAGTGCAAAGAAATATCTAGCACATAAGAACAGGACACTAAAAGATATGAAAAGAGCAACTAATCAAAGAAACACATCCACACATATTCAAACTTAGTTTTTACCCACAAAGAACATAAATTATATCTATAGATAACATCTTCTTTCCTAGCATTAAGACGATTATGCAGGAAGATTAATGCATCTATGCTTTCTGTTTTTGGTAAAAATGAAGACTCGATCACCACAAACAGAATTTACGTATCCCTGGAGAGATCTCATTTGAACATACCTCTTGCCCAGAATTTTGAAGTGCTTGCAAGGGTTCAACACGATCCTGACCAATAACAACAAACCCAGATCCTTTATTCTCACTCTTGCAGCTATTGTTGCTTGCATTTCTCTTGGCCAACTCTTCTAGTTGCTTCTGAAGTAAGGGTGAGACACCAGCCTGATCAAGTGAAGGAGAAAAAAAGATTATAGTGATTATAGTGCCAGTTTTTTTAATATCAATAATGTTTACATAAATTTGTACTCTATGTCAGGGAACTAACCCCAGCCAAATAGCGTAAGAGAGAAAGTCTTAGGCTGCAATGGACGTTGCAAGAGATCACTCAATTCCTAAAATTCAAAGGAAAATGAGCTCAAACAAGGGCCAAAAAAGACGGAGGAATATTTAAAAAATCATGAACACTTTCCTAAAATTTATAACCCTACTAATCTCTTTTGAAGTACTCAAACCTGTTGAAGCTTTTGGAGATGTGCAGAAGTTGCCTTTTCGTTTCTTGTGTCCCTGCACACGTTCTTCTTCACTGTCACTAGCATCCAAAATCAATCCCATGGATTCAGCATTTCTTTGAAGCCAGGATTTGTTAGCATTTTCTAAAAAGCACACAAGAAGGTTAGAAGACAAACAAGTATAGTTTGAACTAATCTGGCATCAGCAATATGAATGATTTAAGAAAATGCATGAAAGCTTTCAAACAGGAGAGCTTGCCTCATGAAGTTTTACGATGCAATCTTGTCAATCTGCCGAGCAAGTGAGAGCCTATTCATTACTCCAGACATGTAAGTATGATCTACAGGAAACTGCTGGAGATTCTCCTGTGATATTCAATCAACGGTTATGAACTCCCCCGGGTTATCAACAAAAATGAAAAAAATCACTGACATATCTAAAGGATGGACGAAGCTAGAAAAAAGTGTAAGTGCATTGGTATTTTATTATGTCAGTAGGAGGAAAATAGACACTTAGCTGTTATGAAACTAGAAAAATGAATACGGTATCCACAAACATGTTATGCCAAGTCATGATAATCTTTGAACACCATGTACTATACAAATAGTTGAACGCAAAGTAGATTGACCTCATGCCAATCAGTAGTTCATTGCAGCTTGATGACGACAACACAACCAAAAAGCAAAAAACATGACGCCTAAGGAGGAAAAGAAAGCTATCGAGATATAAAGCAGAAGCATGAAAGAAACCTTACCTTTGACAAAGACTTGTAAAGAGAATAAAACTTGGACTTGTCAGTAGGAGAGATTAACGCAATGCTGCAGCCAGCCAATGACTTACGTGCTGTCCTTCCACTTCTGTGGATATAAACCTTAGAGGAAGAAAAAAAATTAATTAAAAAACTCGTATATCCCAGAGAAGTGTAGACTCAAGAAATAAAGAAATCACCTACATCAGTTGAGTGTGGCAACTGATAATGGATAACTGTTCGGACATCATCAAAATCCATACCCCTTGCAAAACCATCAGTTGCGACCAAAATGGAATTTTCACTTCCACGGAAGCGATCCACGGCCTAATTGACCACAAAAGAAACCAATCAATGAAATGCCATTGACAAAACCGTGAGATACAAAAACAATGGAATGTGTCTCCCATAATAAAAGAAGGCACAATTTACATCGAATTTCATGAAATGCACTCCAATAAATTTTAAATTCGGATATATAGTGTAAATATGCAATAGGACTAATCGAAACATACAAATTCTGTAGAAACTAGACAATTTCACTGCTTAGCAAATATCAGATATCAAAAGAATAGACACTTGTATGAAAAAAAATCACCTTCATGCGAGCTCTTTGTTGCATTTGAGCATGGTTTGTCAATACATTAATTCCAAGAATGCGCAATATAGAAGAAATGTGACGTAATGCAGCGATTGATGTACAAAATATTATTGTGCGACCTTGCCCGTGAACACTCAATATATAATACAGATAGGCATCCTTATCCTCTTCACTGCACCTGTAAAATACAAACAAAATAATATGTAAGTGTGTAAAAGCTGTCAAGTATAGTTCTGCATCGAAAGTATAAACAAACTAGAGCCAAGTGTATAGTCAAGATGTAAAGGAATTTGTAAGACAGAAGTCATACTCAATAAAAGATTCTTCAAGCTTCTCAGGCAAGATTGAAGCCGTTGTCAAATCAACTATTTCAGCATTAGGTTTCATTCCAGCTTGTTTCGACAATGCTTCAATAGAGCTTACATCATCAGGCGTCGATGCCTTTGAGGTAGATAGGCAAGCGCTTCAACTTCTTCCGAAAATTAGATGAAAGTGCAAGTGTGGCTGAGAACACAAATGTTTGCCGCTTCTTTATTTGCAAATTTGGTACAGTCTCACAGTTTGGCATGGTTTTTCGCAGCTTGTTCATCAGAACCATTGGCCAGTGGAAGCATCTCAATGATAGATTGTAATTCACGGAAATGGCCTCGTTCAATCATTCTATCAGCCTCATCCAAGACGAAGAATGACAATGAATGCAGCTGAGTCATGAAAAGCAATGTGACACGTCAACATAGATAACCAGAACATGGCAATCACAAAGTGCAAGGTTAAATTAAATTTAAATAGAAAACTAAGCTCTACTTTATTCTCTGTCAAAAATATGAGACACTGCTTAGAGCTCAAATTCTCAATATAAGAAGCAAGGAAATGTACTAAACCAAACTTGTAATGGATATGCTTTATGTTCAATCAGAGACCAGAAGACTGCATAAGGCTTAGTTGATTCCATACTGAAAACGACATGTGGCTTTAGGTTAGTTATTTGTGAAAAACGAAAATCTGTGTGGAAAATGCATATAAAAACAGATATCAAAATTTCAATGAATAAATACAGGGAAGACAAGAAAGGAGTGAGAAGTTTACTTATACATCATGTACTGACCTCAACTAGGTGTTGATTGTTCATTGACATGTGCTCCCACAATCTTCCAGGAGTTCCAACAACAATTTCAGGCTTCTTTTTCAAAAGCCGCTCTTGCTTTTCCATGGATAGACCACCAACAATTGGAACAACATGGATTCCTAAGAACTTGGCCGCATCTTTTAGATGATCGCATACCTGTATATACAAAGTTGTATGACATCCAGGATATATGCTAACGGGTACTTCGACAGGAAGTTAGGTAACAGCTTTAAAGAACGTAACACTTCATCAACAACTCAGATCCACACTACATGTTGAGTGGACCACACACTCCCACCAACCTACTTACGCTTTTGTGCTCACTTCACGTAAAAGGGTTAACCCGGGGTTGGTGATATGGACACTAGAAGCTTTATATGTTGATTTAACCCACCAACTGACCCAAAACAACCAAATTGAAAGGTCCAGTTGATGCATACATTGGACTAGGTCATTCCTTTACCTGTTTGGCAAGCTCCCTGGTGGGTGTCAGAATAAGACCACGAAGAGGGCTTCCACCAGAACGTTCATCCATTTTCTTGCCTTCCTGGTGCAATCTTGCGGCCTTTTCTCGCTCTTCAAGGAGACGTTGCAAAATTGGGAGGCCAAAAGCAAGTGTCTTTCCAGAACCTGTCTCTGCTGCACCGATAACATCCTGTTGCAAAGTAAATGTCAGCACACTCAGAAGACATTTAAGGTTTATGGCAGAAGTTTAGAGCTTAGGATTATTAAACTCAACAAGGGACCAAATTAGCAAAGTAAGTTAAAAGAATACAAACTTTTAGATGACATACTTTGAAACAAAAAATCATATAACAAAGTTCAAAGTTTATGTAAAGTAGGTTATCAAGTTAAACAGTTGAAATAAATCCAAAAGCGGGTGTATCATTATATTCATTCATTCTCAATGTGTTGGCTAATCTTCGCCCAATGGACAATTTGACATACCTTGCCTTGATGAGCTGCTGCAGGAAAGCAAGACTTTTGTATAGGTGTTGGCTCTTTGAATCCAAGTATGCGCATCGTCTTGAGAAGCAGAGGGTGCAGCCTAAGCTCACGCCATGCAGAAACATCATCCTCGCCCAAAATCAGCTCATCATCCTTATCTTGTTCCACATTCTCAGTGTCATCTTGCATGTCTGCAGGGGTCAAATATGACATCAGTATGAAGTAAACTCCCGTGCTGACCAGATCAATTTTGCAACGCTAGTCGCTAGGTACTACATATCAAAACCAAATAAATACCACAGTGACGCTTTACAAGTGCAGTGCCTCGAAACAACAATCTAGTGTGTAGAATCACCTTCTGCATTGTCACTAGTGACATCCTCATCACTCTCCCTGCTTGTCTCATTATCCTTCACCTTCCTCTTCTTCCTGTTCCTCTTTTTCTTTCCCTTCTTCTCCCCTTTCTCCCCATCCTCGACCTTTTTCTCCGCTTTCTCGCCATCCACCTGCTCATTCTCAACTACCAAAGCACCGTGGGCATTGAAGCCCTCGTCATCACCCCCACGCTTCCGCTTCTTCGTTTTCTTCTTCTTATTCTTCTTCCCATGATCCTTCCCTGCTTCCTCGACGCCCTGTCCTACGTCATCCAAGACGCTTCCGAAGATGCCGAAGTCTGCCTCATCGATCTCCTCCAAATCCAGAAACCCTGAACCAAAGCCCCAACTCGCCTCATCAGTCACCACACGGAGAAACCCAGAGAAGGAGATACAATTCAAAGAACGCGCAATCCTGGCATTAATTACCTCCTTCCTTTCCGCCGGCAAGGACGAGGAAGGGGTCCTCAGCCACGGTGCTGGCGCCTGAGGAGAACCCGTCGGTGTCAGCGGCGGCGGCGGCTCGCTTCGGTTGCTTCTTGGAACGATTCTTCTTGTTCTTTTTCTTACTCCTTCCGCTGCCTTCCTGCGGCGGATGCTCGGGCTCGGCCATCGGCGGCGGAGCGGGCGGAGGCGGCCGCAGTTGGGGAGGAGAAGAAAGAAGTGAGGGTTTTAGTTTTGGATGGGCCCTTTTCACAAATCGAAGGCCTGTTTGAGTCCAGCCGCCACTCGGGCCGGCCTGCCTCGACCAAGACGATCCATGAATGATCCAACGGCCGTTTCTCAAAAAAAAAAAAAAAGAATGATCCAACGGCCACGGAACGCCACACTTGGCGGCCCCGCGCTCCCCGTGAATCGACCAAAAAGTGCCCCCGCCCCGCCTGCCCGCCCGCACGGTGCGCCGCGAGGCGGATCCGCCGTCACACAGGGACAGCCACCACCTAGTCTACTCACCCCCAACGACGTGTAGGCCCCTACTTAGATAGACCCCACTCGTCATTCGCCTTTCCACGACATCGTGCCCGATCACTTCACGACGTCTGAAAGGAGGCTTCGAATCCCAAAAGCGAAACGCGAGAGTGAAAAGCAGAAACAGAATGCAGTGACAGGGGGCTGCCATTTTAAAACCTTGCTCTCCTTCTCCACTCGATCCCCAAGACCCCAAACCCACCCGCACGGCGCAGCACCACCAATCCATCCATCCTTCCGCATTCGCCACCCTCCCCGTCGTCGAGCCCCCGCGAACCCTAGACCGCCTCCCTCGCACCTCCGCTCCGTCGCCGCCGGGGACCCCCTCTACTCGCCCGGTGGGAGTCGCGGCGGCACGTCCCCGATCCGAGCTCTCTCCGCCTTAGGGTTTTTGGGGCCGGGCATGGACCCCATGGAGCAGCCGGAGCCCGAAATCGCGGGCCACTACTACGCCCTTCAGGTGAGCGGGCGCGATTGGATCTCGATGGGCGGGGGAATGGGGTGGGGTTTGTGGTTTTAGGCGGGGGTTTTGACGCCTCACGCGTGATTGTGGTTTTTGTTTGCGGGGCAGGTGGGCTCCTACTTCCTGACGGGCTACTACAACGTCCTGACGAACCAGCCGCACCTGGCGAGCCAGTTCTACACGGACAACAGCAGCGTTGTCAGACTGGACTGCGAGACGGGCCGGTGGTCGTTTGGAGAGACGGTGGAGGTATAACCGTATAATCCCGATCTCCTTTTGTTTTTCTGCTGTTTTTTCCCCTCCCTGGCGCTGGTGGATTATCCTCGTTTTGTGAAATATACTTAGTACAGGTATTCAAGTCCTTATGTTAGTTCCGTATATTTGAATTTTATAGACGCGATCATGTGTTAGAAGGTTTTGTTTTATGGACTGGCTTGATGGTAATTTATGGCTGCTTTGCTATAAGTTGAGATTGTTGCATCTGTCATGCTGTTGGGGAATTGAAGCCATTTGTGAAACCCTGGGAACATGCTGCTGCTCTGCTTTTTTTATAAGAATTAGTATGGGTAAAGTTAGGAAATCCAGTTATTTTTTGAAGGTCTCTGATTCCAGGTTCAATTTTTCTGTGCGCATATATTTCTCTATTCATAGGGATCTTGTATACTGTTGTTGGATTGCATATGTTACCTGGTGGTTCGTCAGTTCTGTTTTTTTTATAAGAATAGTGTTAAAGGGCAAATAAAGTGAACAAATTGGTTGCTATTTGTTCTCTTAATGAAAACATGTAGGAGTATACTTTTTTTGTTAGTTATATCTTGGTAAGAGAATATGCTATGTCTATCTTTTAACTTGAAGGGACCAGGGCATGAAACCTGATCTAGCCACCACAATTTTCTGTTCTTCCGCTGGAGCGCGATGTTGTTTTGTCATCCAAACTCTGATGAGCCAAATATTGGGTTTAGCCATTTTACTTATAATTGCTATTTACTTTTGCAGGTTATCAATGATATGATGATGTCCATGAATGTAAGCAAGGTTGAGGTTAAAACAGCGAATTTCTTAGAATCATGGGGTGGAGCGATTACGCTGTTGGTTACTGGCCTAGTGCAATTGAAGGGCTACCCTGTTCGCAAGCGATTTGCTCAGAATATTGTTCTTGCTCCAAAGAAGGATGGATATTTTATATTCAGCGACATCTTTAAGCTCATCTGTGATGAGTATGATGATCAGTACCCTGTTGCTGATTACAATTGTGCTGACAACATGCCCCAAGTGGATGCGTCTTACACAATGGCTGAAACAGGTATCTCTTTCAATGGTATTGAAGTCATTATATATTATATACATCTAAACAACTAGTTGTTTCATGAACTTTCCTACGGCTTTGTGACATCATGTGTTACATGCTAATAAGTACATATTGGAACTGGACCTCTTTTGCAAAAAGGTTTTGTTGTACTGCTTTTTGTTTGATCTGTGGACAATAGAATTCACATGACGACTGATAAGGTCACCAGATAATTTTCGTGTCTTATGCCACATATTTCTGGTCTTTGCTGATCCCTTTCTCATTCCTATTTAAGTTTGATTAATTAAGTTTCTGGACAATAAACTTTGCCATTTAAATTCCTAGATAGTTAATGCATGCCTTCATATTAAGATTCAGTGAAAATCTGTATAAAAATCACAGGTATGCCTATCATTGCACTGAGATTCTGTTGTTGCATTATTCACCAGGGTCTGATTATTTGGATGGAGAACCTGAGGCGCAGGAGACTGTTGCTCCTGCTGAAAATCATGTGCAGCACCAAGATCCTTTGGAATATAAGGCTGGCAATGTGATTTATGATGAAACTCATCCAGAAGAGCATATTCCCTCATTCCCAAGTTCAACAGACATGAAAAGGGATTCACCTCTTGCTCCTCCCCACCCTCCTTCATCGCCTACCCTTGAAGAACCTGTGGAAGAAGCACCCAAGACATATGCTTCAGTGGTAAGCAAATACATGCTATAGTTAAGCTTAACTTCTAGTTTCTGCTTTTCTTGATTGCTTGCATTGGTATCAGTTGCGAAGAAACGTGAAGGCAACGATGGCAACTGCAGAGGCACAGCAGGCTCAACAGTTGGCCCCACAGGCGCAGTCTGCCCCAGTGCATGAAAAGTCTAACTTGGACAACCACCGGGCTGTTAGCACCCCTGAGGATGAAGGTTTTTCTTCTTCTTTTGTGCACTGTTTCACTCATGCTTCTGATGAATTTTATTTGACCTGTGTTTAAACTGTAAAAAAAAGAGCGTACCCAGTGCAGAGAGCTCCCGCTCTGTGCGGGGTCTGGGGAAGGGTGTCAGTGGCAAGCCTTACCCTCGCCTGTGCAATGCAAGGAGACCGTGACTCGAACCTGGGACCTTCCGGTCACAGGCGGTAAGACTCTACCGCTTGCACCAGGTCCGCCCTTCTTGTGTTTAAACTGTCTTGTCATTAAAACAATATATAGGTAATCAACATTGCTAAAAATCCATTTGATCGTTGTGCGCCTGAACTGGTCTTGTTAACTGTTCATTTGGTTTTTATTCAAATCTTCCAGTTTTAGATTTGAGCTTGAATTACCTTTTCAAGGCCTTCTTGGATGGTCGAAATTTGGACCCAAATCTTTGACTAAGTAAAAGAACTCCAAATCGATCCCCTTATAAAAGTTCCTCTTAGGATAATTTAAATTGAAATCAATGATCTTTACTGAACCCCTTTAAAATTGTCATTGTATCAGTTTTGTAAATAATAATGATTCTTAAGTGGGGGCTCTTGTTAGGATACCCAAACTCCTGTTTGCTTCTTTTGCACTGTTATTTTCTTCTCAATATGTGTAACTATGTAAGAGCTGCTGCGTCACATGAATCCCCTAGCTTTATCTTGTTGCTTATTTGAAGAGCTATTTGGTAGCTATAATCCCATGTGTGTGTGTGTGCGCGCACGCACATGTATCCAGGTTTGCATGTGTCCAGGTTCATTTTATTTTGGTGCAGTGTTTAATACTAGCAGATTTTTAGCTAGTTGTTAAGGAGAATAATAGGCAATCATAGTAGCTATGACTGCATCAATTAGGAGGATTTCATGGGCAGGTGTATAGCTCTATATCAGCTATATAATGGTGATTGCTTGTGTGGCTGCATCAACCAAATACTTGTGCTGTTTATACTTGTGTGTGTCCACCAGAGAAACAAAGAGCTACTGTGTGTTTCGTTTGTGATAAACACTCAAGAGAGGGAGTGTTTTTCAACATTATCAATTAGCATCTTATCTTTACTAAAGCATGCTAATAGTATGTGGGAGGTACTTGACTTAGAATTTGTTGTTTATTAACCACTCTTGTTGTGAATTATCCTTCTTGAAGCATTATGGTAGTATTGTTAGGCTGTGCCATAGTTTTTTCTTCATTAAAAGTTTGCATGCCCCTTACAGACTTGCATGCTACATCTCTAAATTGCTAGTGTATCTGTCAAGGACCTGCCTTCGTGCAACAGAATTTCTGTCTTGGTCAAACGTTCTTTATGTTTGTAACTTTGTATGTACACCATACATGACTGAATTGTATACCTAATCTGAGGCAGTGCATGTTAAAATCTCTAGTGTCTAGTCCACAATCATTTGTACCTTTTTGGCTATGTTGTGTCCATTTCTTTTTTTACTTATAATATATATGCACGATTATGCCCAAAAAATGTTTTTGGACATAGATCCATTCTCTTCTGTTGTACATTTTATGTAACCTTAACTGTTGGGTTTTATTTTTCAGAGGAGTTTCTTTCGGTTTATGTTGGGAATCTTTTCGCCATCTACTTGGTCTTTGATCTTGAGAAAGTGTTCCAGGCTTTTGGAAGAATTAAACCTGATGGAGTTGCTATCCGAAGCCGCAAGGTTTTGCCTTTTATTAAATGCTTTGATATTTACTTTTCTTCATTGTTGCCTTCCTAATTCATCTACTGATATGCAGGAGGCTGGAGTCTTCTTTGGCTTTGTTGAGTTCGAAGACATGTCTGGTATTCAGAATGCTTTAAGTGTAAGTTTCCCTTAGCATGTAGGCTTCTGTAATCTGCAATGTATCATAATCAATACATCTAGGTCATAGTCAGAAAACCTACTAAAAAGGAATTAAATGAATGTGGAAACGCTTAGTAATGAACTATTTGGCATAGTAGTGTTTGCCTACTCTAAGCATGATGGACGGCACACCAACCATGTTCTGCCAAAGTAGAAACATACACCACTGCAGGTCTTTAATAATTTTAAAATATAAAAGGAGATATAGATTGATATGCCAATGAAATTTCTACTGCTATAGTGAGTCCCATGTGTTGACAAAATCTACCGGGTGAAGTTTTTTGATCGACCACTGCATTGCATGTTTTTTTATATACAAATGTAATTCATGCATTTTCATTCGCTTAATAATCTAGGTTTACACCCATAAGCCACAGTTAGATATTCACAGGAGAAAGAAAAAAATAATACCATCTACATCATGCCACAGTTTCCCATAATGCTGTCTTATCTGGTCAATTTTTTGTACATTAGGCATCTCCAATAGAGTTAAATGGCCGTTTTGTACATGTTGAAGAGAGGAGGCCTAACTGCGGAATCCCTCGTGGAAGTAAGTATCCACTCAGGACCATCTCCATATGATTATGCAGACTTTCTTCAACCATCCTTGTCCAAGTAGTTGGCATAGAACGTTCTGTATTGATAGTTTAAGACAGACATGAAAAAGCAGGGTTACTTTAACTGAATTTGGGCTTGCTATTAGACTGGTTATCAACTAGAGGAGGCATGCTTGACTTATATCCAATGTGATAATCATTTCCCTACATTAGCTGCAACCAAAAGAAAAAAAAGAGTTCACTAATTGTCTCTGGTTCCTGTGTTTTTTTCTCTTTTATTAGAGTTGGTAATAATAATTGTAATTCCTTGCTCTGCAGGAAGAGGCCGTGGAAGAGCTGATTTCTCAAGGGGCCAAGCTGGTGGGAGATACGACGGGGAGTATGCTACTCGATCGAAGGGAACTGGGCACCAGAAAAAAACTGGACGCCAGTATGACAGTTACTACTAGTTTCGTACCTGCTCTGCTGGTAAATGGCCGTGTACCATTGGCGTTCTCTACCTGGTGCTGTTCTGGCCATAGTTTTGCTGAAAGTCACAATGATGTCGAGGCTAGTATTTCTGCTTTGCTGACATTGGGCAGCTTCTTTTTTGGGGATGGGCTTCTGTTACTATTTTGTTGCGTCACAGTAGTTTTTGGTCCTCAGCTACCGTGATGCTACCATTGGAGTGAAGTTTTGGAACGTCAAACTTTTCAAGTAATTCCTAGGTTGTACCGATGTTAATAGTTGGTCTTCTTATATTGGCATAGTCTGCATACTTCGTACTATTCACTTGGTGGCGTATTTTCATACCGATGTTAATAGTTGTTCTTCTTACTATACTTCTAACTGCTGGTGGTGCGGGGAGTGTTGTTGCAATGTTGGGGGACTTGGCTTACAGAAAACCTCAGGGTTACTCTGGCGAATCCCATGGCGTCGGTGAAGGTTGTCTAACAGAATAACAGATTGGTGGCAAAGAAGAGGTGATTTCTAGACTTTCGGTATGGTCATGCGGTCTATTTTGCCAAATCACTCACCACCGGCATATGATCCCATTAGGGCTAAAGATGGCAACGGCCCCCTGATACCCGACGGGTATTTTATCTATTAGGAGACGGAGATGGGATTATATCTTTACCCGTGGATATCTAAATGGACAAGAATCCATCATCGACGGGTATAGCGGGTACGGGAACGTTCTCTGTTTACCTGTCCTCGTTATCCGTGGGGAACCTGACTATTTGAGCTGTCATGCGAGTATTAGGCTTAAAGAAGCTCAACATAGATATTTTGGGCCAAATCTGAATAATCATATATATAGTTTGTATATTCTAGGAACTCTAGTTTAATTTTTCTTCACTATCTCCGTCAGCAGCACAAGCACGTCTGCCTCACGAGCGCTCGTGCCCCTCGCTTCCTCAATTCGGTCTCTCTGCCACCTTTGCTCGTTCTCCTCGCTCCTTCTCCTCGGCATCTCCGAGACTCCGACACTTATACCTGGGTGAAAAAGAAATGTCTCCGATTGCAAAGCTGCGACCCCAAGTGTCCTGATTTATCGGCTATGCAGTACCCGTTGCGTATCTGTTACCCGACCGATGCCCGACGGGTACGGGGATGGGCAAGAATCTATACCCAAGACAGTTAACGGGGACGGGGACAGGATGAATTCTCCGTAGTGGGGAAGAGAACGTTCTAGCGATACCCGATCAGTACATCCCCGTTGTCATCTTTAATTAGGGCGTTAGTAGCTGCTAGCTCCCAACACTATCTGCGCCGGTACCTGCAGGCTACCGAGTTCATATCGTTCACTTCGCAATGCGGCTTCATTCATGATGCCAGTTTACCTGTCATTCAAATGGACGTGCTATCTGCGCCGGTACCTGCAGGCTACTGAGTTCATTATCGTTCAAGCTTCAACCATGATGCTATATGCGCGGGTACCTGCGGGCTACCGAGTTCACTATCGTTCAAGCTTCATCCATGATGTCAGTTTACCTGGCATTCAACTGGACGTCTTGCAGAGACGCAGAAATGAGAGGCCCTGTGGATGTGATTCTCTGACCACCAACCAAGCGGTCATCCTCCGTTGCCTAAACTCCAAACTCCAAAGGCAGCACAATATGAGAGGCCAAGACGTTGTCTTTGGTTTAGCAAGTGTTTCTATTGTCAAAAGGTAGAATGTCAACTAAGGTACAACTGAAAGCCGCTTTTTCAGAGCTACGTTCGCGCCGTATAATTTTCACAGCATCGTGGATCCTACTTTTGATTTTTGGCTTTTAGCTTTTAGCTTTTCCAAGTAGATGGAAAGAGAGACTCTACAACTATTTCAAAGGAGATAAAAAGAAGATAAAAAGAGAGGGTAATTTTATAGTTTTTAAACCGAATAGCTTATAACTTATTTAGGAATATAGCTTGTAAAAGCTTTTCCACATCTCATTGCTCGCAAGAAGCTAAACTAAACAAACTAAACAGAGCTTGTATACAACTTTACATGGCTAGCTTGTCGCCTTCAAATGCTCCAAATGCTGCCTTTATTCATTTTGCCGACTCGTTCAAACGTTATGCATGTGACACCACATCGCTAGCACGCCTGCACTTTCCGAATGGGAGGATCAGACGGCCGCAGACGCCAGCTCCATCGCTTGCCCTGTTCGCGCGGCGCGCTCCGGTGCCGCCGCTCCACCCGTGCCTTGGTCTCTGCAGTCGTCGTCGTCCTGCTCCCACAAGAAGCTCGCGTACGCAGCGAGGACATGGCTGCAAGAGTGACAAACCAACGTTAGGTACCCCTCGAGTTTAGGAACAGGAAAATCGAAATATTCATGTATGTCCACTAGAGTCCAAACTGAGAGGCCTACCTATCGTGTGGGGCAGCCTGCACCGACTTTTGGAAGTAGCCGAGGCATCTCTCCGGGTCGTGGGGCACCTCCCAGACCAGCTTGGCGTACTGCGACATGATCTCGCCGTCGCTGGGATCCGCCAGCATGGCGCGCGAGTAGTACTCCTCGGCCCTACTGGTGTCGCCCTTCACCTGCAGGCAGCACCGGCAGCACAGCAAAAGGGTTGGTCCAGTCAAAAGTTAAACGTCACTACAGAGTACAGACACATGACATCTTTCTTGGCAACCGAATGAATATGCCTCGTGGAGGGACTGCGCGTAGTTGCGCAGGAACAGCGCGTTGCCGGGCTGCTCGTCGACCATCGTCTTGTACTGCGCGTCCAGCGCGGCCACCACCTCGTCCAGCGCGGCCACCACCACGCGTTCCATGTTGGCTCCACAGCCGGTCTTGTCGACGCCAGCGGTGAAGATGCCCGAGGCGATGCGGTCGATCCCGAGGCCCCTCGACAGCGGCACCTCCGAGTGGTCCGGCTGCATCGCCGTCGGCTGCTGCTGACCCTCTTGTTAGATTGGTCTCCAGCAGTTGGCCCAATGGCTAATTGGGTCCTTGATCCGCGTTCTGATCGGGGACGCCTAGCCTTTCTCCTGGCTGATGGCCCCCGTCGCGCAGTGCTATAAAGAGGAAGATGGAGGCCGGGGCGCAAGGTATGAGGTTCACCGTAGCCGCCAGCGCCCCACCGAGGTTCTTAGCCCTAGTCCGATAGAATGGCGCGCTGTAAGCGACGGAAAGTCCACACTGTCTTCACCGTCGCCACTGGTCCACGCCTACGCTGCTGCTACCATTGACGACCTAGCGGGTGCCCGCACGGCTTCCCCTACACCGACATGTCGCGGCCATCTTGTTGGCGGCGCCACAGCCACGACTGCACTCGACGAGGTACATTACCAAGTCTGCTTATCTAAGTTAAGAATTTCCCTACTGATCTGCACCTAGAGGTCCTACAAGTCTATCAATGGTATCAGAGTCATGGTCCTAGTGTGTAGATCTAGCAGATTAGGGTAGAAAGCAGCGAATAGAAATCAAGAATCAAGTGATTCAAATCGGATCGGAACCCAAACCCTAACCTTAACCCTCACCCTAGAAGAGAGGTGCGAGGGGAGAGACCTACCGGTTCTCCTCACCTTGGTGAGTACCGTCGTCGTCTGGGAAGACTGCAGCGTTGGAAGAAACCACCGCCTACGGCGGCGCTCTCTGGCGATGCGTACGCGTGTGGGGCGCAAAAGAGCACCACCATTGTCTCGCTCGGACGGCGGCAGCGGCAGCCCGACGCTGCTGCGCTGCTGCCGGCGAAAGCGCCCGCGGCGGTGCCGCCACCTCTGCGTCGCATCCGCCCTTCAGATCTCGGGTGAGGCAGCTATGGTGTGTGGCGAAGAGAGGGATAGATCTAGGGTTAGCGCATATGGGAGACTAGGGCACCGTTGCCTAGAACCACTTTCGGCGGCTTTTTCGGCCTCGGCGGCGTGCTGCGCCGGTGAGGGGGACCAATGGCGGCGCCGCTACATTGCTCCCTTTCGTTTACATTGCGGTGGTGGAAAGAGAAGAAAAGGTAGAAATGAGTTAAGGTTAGGGCGCACCGACGAGGCGACCGGGTTTTGATCTTGCGAAAATGAAGGCTGACCGTCGGATAAAAATGGATGGCTCAGAGAGATTCAGGCCGAAAGCATCCCAGACGGGGTTGGAAAATCCCGGCCTAAGCCTAGGTTGCGGCATGGGTAGCATGGCGAAAGCAGCCGTTGGGCCATTGAGCCATGCAGCATAAAATTGTGAGAGAAATGGGTCGCCTTTGTTTCCTGGGCGGGCCGAATGCACAGTAATGAGTGTGAATTTGTTTATTATTTTCAGAAGCGAATTTTGATGAATTTTGATTTTTTTTATCTCTATTCAATTTTGAACCAACGGGATAAATTGTTTAGAAAGTAGATAAGTACACAATAAAATGCTTCTAAAAAGTAGATAAATTATTTTTCATGTTTCCGCTGCAAAGTTTAATGCTGATTATCTTCTAATTAAATTCGAACCAACATGATAATTTGATTTGAAGAGCAGTTACTTTTAGTAAATTATGATTATATTTATTCTCTAATTAAATTGGAACTAACAAAAAAAATTTAAATTAGACGACTAGTCCGATTTGTTTATGTTAAATTATGGTATTGTTATGTTTTAACCAATACTGATGATAACAATATTATAATGAGTTTAAGGTTGAAGTTTAAATCTCTGATAAATTTTACACCAACATAGTCAATTTTTCATAGAGTAGATAAAGACCAAGAAATGTTCCTGACCTAATATAATGTATTTTATTATCGTGTTTCACTGCAATGATGTTGATTATCTTCTAATTAAATTTAAACCAACGGGAGAATTTAATTTTGAAGAGTAGTTATATGTCTTTCAAGTTAATTTATGAGTTTTATGTATTAATTCTATTTTCTACCCAACGGTGATATAAAATTGATGCAGAAGCATCTTGTAAGTTTTATTTTTTAACCGACGAGATCACTCGGTTGCATGCCAACGGGCTACAATGCTGGAGTATGTGAATGAACTGGCTTTGAAAAGGCTTGAGTTAAGCCAGTTCATGATAGTTTTTTTGTTAGTTTACTAATTTTCTGATTAAATTAGAACCAACGGAAAGATTTAATTGAAAAATAAAGTATAAGTGAATGTTTTAGTCATTGTGACTAAATTTTTCATTACGGTAATCTGTATATAGATTTATCCCGCTTGGGGAGAAGTTTGGCATAGTACTTATGCTAGTTAATCCTACCTGGCGGGAAAAGTTTTGAGATAACTCATATGTTTTTTATCCCGCATAGCGAGACAAGTTTGGATAGCTCTTATGCTATTCTAGTATTGACCATGGCACCATAGAAATGCACCATCATGGTTAATACTAATCAAAGGACAAGAAAAAGATGCAAGTGTGACTTGCAAAAGTACAGTTAATAAAAGACCTCATCGTGTTCTTGAAGTGGAATGAGAAAAGTTTACTCATATATGGATCAAGAAATAACTTTATTTGCATGACATAATCATGTGAATGAAGTAAGTCATAAGTGTCTCCTCGTTCACACTTTTCTGAATAGTTCTCGAAATTATGGCAGTATAGTTCATGCCATATTTCGAGGGGGAGAATTGTGAGAAGAATTAAGAGTAAGAATTAAGATCAATTAAGAAACTACTCTTCATTAAGAGTGAGATAAAGATATTGATGAATGTGTACTCTTCATTAAGAGTGAGATACATATTTTGTAAGAAACTGAGTGAGATAAAGATTTTGATAAATGTGACTGTCGATGCAGAAAGTGACCAACAAGTAAATATTTATAGTTTTGTAAAGACGTTGTGATCGGAGGTGGCCTAGCACTCAATGACACAGGTTTATCTTTGGTTCGTGCAACGTGCCCTACGTCTAGTTTGAGTCGGTCGGTGACTTTATTCACGAGCCTGTGTGCTCAAGTTTGCGATGGGGTTACAAATGAGAAGGAGAAAGATGGGGGTACAAGAGGTCCCGGTCGGACTCCGGTCGGAAAAATTTGAGAGTGACAAGAGCTCCGCTATGAGCTAAGTGTTCGAGTGTGTGCTCGTGGTTTGAACCTGATGGTTCTGCTATTGTGTGCTAGTGAACTTGATCGATCTAATGAATCTGGAATGACCTGAATCTACATCCCTAGAGTAAGGGGCACGGGTGCTCCGGTCGGGACGACTCGCGCCTTGGGAAGTGAGGGGCGGGTCATGACCTAGAACAGTCCTCACCACTGTGGGCCCATCGATGCCAAGTCTTGGCTTCAGAGTCGTGCCGCTTACCTCTCGGTATATTTTTCTTTGTTTCTTTTCGATCTTGTTGTTGAGTCTTTTTTGGAGTATGACTGACCCGTACTCTTTGTCAGCGGCCGGGCGATGACGGGGTTGAGTATTGCCCCAACTCCTGTGCAGGAGGTTTGGAGGCCCACCCTGCTGCTGTGTCCTTGGCGAAAGGCGGGGGGAATAGGGTGGTGGCGGCGAACCCTTCCCTTCTAGGGGTGGTGCTCCCCGGGTCGGTTCTTTGAAAATGGCGATAGCGGCGGCGGCAGCAGTGTGGCTGGCGATCCCGGTGGTGGTGACCACAGAAAACCGCCGGTGGTGTCCCTTGCGGCCCCTCCTTCACCAGCTGCGGCACAAGAGGAAAAGGAGATCGAGCCCCCTGCCTCACCGGGCGAAGGGCTGCATAGCTCACCCTCGTGGTCGAAGCTGAAAACACCGGGGGGAAACACGGCCGGGATGGAGTCAGAACGCCCGTCGGTGGCTCGTGCAACCGATGTGGTGGAGATCCCATCCGATGACGAAGCGGATGACGCGATGGAGCTGCCGGTGCCATCGCGGGAGTTGGCGGTGGATGGGTCGGAGGCTGGGCCCTCCGACGGGCTGTCGGAGGGTGATTTGGAGTGGCCCTGCCCTGAGGACCCTGTCAAAGGTGTGGTTCATCCTTTGGGATTCCTAGGAGTGTCAACTCTGGGATATCCTTGGGGGGAAAGGACTTGCCATGGAGTTTGAACTCACCAACCTGTTGGGGAAGCTCAAGGACTCACAGGAGCGGGTTAAGTCTGCCCAGCAGTTAGTCAAGGTCGACCTGCAGCTCACCGCGGAGGTGAGTTTCCCATATTTGTCCTTGACCTCTGAGTCTCTTGTTGGTTGCCTCAGCATGCTTGCTTTTTGTTTTCGTAGGTGTAACACCCCGGTGTTACGATCTTATTTAGCGTCGCGATTTAGGTCTAAGTAAAACTTTCGAAACGAGTTTCTCGAATTTTTGATTTAAAACATACGTGAAGCGATAGCGAATCCCGGGTGACTTAGTTTGATGGACTCAGATAAACGCTCAAGTTAAACTACGTCGGGCGTAGGAAAATTTACGAATGTCCGACGACGATTCTAGCAAACGGTTTGTTATATCAGATTAAGCATAAGAAACAACTTTTATAAATAAAATAAAATCCATTAATAAATAGAACGATATATATATTCATAGCACTGGTCTAGTGACATGTTCGTTTTAGCCCTATGTAAGTTGGTAACGTAAATGTAACCGCGACAGCTACCCGCCTAGCCGCTTTATACAATTACGTGGTTGGTGTGAAACAAGTTACAGACGTGAGATAGCTTAGCAATCGTCATTTACTTTTCTGGCGTGTTTTCAGCTAGTCGCCTTGCTTTGTAATTAGGCACAGTCTCGTGTCCCGTCGTGGCTCGGTCGTGTCCTCGCGCACTCTGCACCCGGCGTGGCCATTTGCCTGAGCCATGTCCTTGTCTGTTTGTCCAACCGGACCACGTGCTTGCGGTCGCCCTCGGTTGGACTATTTTGTATTCACCCGGCGAGCTAGCTCAAGCCTTCTCGAGTCCTCTCTCGCGTCTGTTTTTCCTGCTGACCACGTTGGGCCAGGACATCCTGCTGCACCGTATTTATGAAGTAGGTGCCAGAGCTGCTGCTGTATCA